ATGATTCTCTTCGTTTCTTTCTGCCTCAGTGTGAAGACATTTGCCTCTAACTTATATGGAATATTTTACCACGTATCTAGATACGTACTTTTATCCGTATAACAATCATTTGCAGATACACACACACATACACACTAGGAAATCAACCTTCAACAAATCCAAGTTTACCTGTATAAGTAAAAGTTTAATCATCGCTGCGACGTAGTAGATTATATTAGGTCGACCGAAAAGTTTCTTTCGTTTTGTAAGAAAATAATGGATGCACAACATTATTCGTTCTATATCATTTTATCAAATTACGTATGATCCATTTCGCTCTATCAAGATAAAGATCACAACGTTTGACAGATTAGGTTTCACGTTTGTATAAAGATGCGTCGTTGTAAAAGACGTGTTTGTAAAAGAAAGACAATCTAATATATGCATACGTACACAGTCGTATCTTACGATAAAAGGTCGTATTTCAATCCTCACTGTGCTCCTTTTGCACACCAACTATGTAACTCGAATTATATATTTTTCCTAGAATCATCAAATTCGCCTTTCCTCCAGCCTCCACAATTCCAGAGATACGATTCTCTTATCGACCTGCGAGATCACCAGCTTACGAATCCTGCCGATATCTTGCTCATCTTATAACGCTTACTGTATCCGAAAGATATCTGCACAACTCGAAGATTCTCTGGCGTCAAGATGCGAGGCTCGACCGTGTAACGCGAGAATGGAATGAAAGCACGCGAAACGGGCAGAAACAGTGCGCCTACGTGACAAAGCTCGCAGAGCATAGATACTAGACGTAGTTCGTTAGCGATGGACCGAGCAAGGCAGAGAGTACAGAACGATAGAACTGGATAGCGTGGTATAGCAACGGCATAAGGGATGAAGAGCGCAAAGGGGTGGAACAGAGAGGCTTCTACACCGAGGCAGAATGGGACAGAGACACGCGCGTTGCCGCGTTTATTAGTGTCCAATTGTGACGAGAGAGGCGCAGGGTAACACGAAAGCGAGCGCGTGAACTCGCTCATTTGCGTGCCTGTTAATTTGCCACGTTTGTGTGAGCACCGTGCCGCGCCGCGGCACGCACAAGCCAGTCCCCGCCAATGGACAGAGAGAAAATTAGCGCTTTGAGTATGGGTGCCTGACCGCCTGCCGGCCAGAACCCAGCTCTCTCGGACCCTGGCTTGCTCGCGTCGCAATGCGAGAGCGCGTGGTGGAAGCGTACGTGCGCGTCGGCTCGCGTACCAACGCCTGGGTGGTCCCCTGTGGTGCGTCGGATAAAAATCGCCCGACATTCGACGTCTCCTTTTCCTTTTTGCGCGTTTTTCTCGCTTTCTTTCTTCTCGCGCAGCACACGCGACGAAAGCGCGTCGCGTTAGGCGGCGAGCTTCGTCACGTTCGATTTTCATGGACCAGCGTTCGATCCGTAACGGGTCAAGGTTCGTATCTTCGATATCGAATCGAGGATGGTTCGATGTCGTGGCGTAGGGAGCGGAAAAATAGTTGATCGACGAAAAGAAGGGAACCAAGGATTACGTGGCGAATTGCGGCGCTGATTATACGTGGAATTGCAAAATTATTTGTTGGGGAAATCGTTGGATCCTTACACGTTAAATGCTGTTAATTTGATGAAATCGATTATCGAGGCGTAATGTGTTCCGAGTTATCGTCTATTTCGCGTTGCAAATATCTTGCAAGTCGGATGAGGAAGGAATATCCTTGGCAGACAAGTGGATTTTTCTGAGAAAGCTGGGAACGGATTTTCTGCAAAATTTTGTACATTTTTTGTATGACGATGTTGGTACAATAAAAGTTGCGTGAAATTAATCATCTGTCATAAACATTCACCATAAACTTCTGCTTATTATTCGTAATATTTTCACGCAAGTTTTTTAAAACGTCGGTAGTCCGCTAATCGATGTTATTGCGATCACTCGAAGTGATAAGAAATACAGCTGCTTTTATTCGACAGGTTTATTGTGCGCTGTCTTTATTTTATCATCCCCGTACTGATTCCCATCAAGTAGCTAATAAATATTGATTTCTACGTGTGTGTTTAACCCGTTCGTTTCAGAAAGAAAATCCATTCTATCGACGATGCGTATTATCAAATTCCGAAAGAAATAATCAAGCAATTCATACTTTGCACCTGACACGCGTAAAATAAATATTCAAGTTCCGTGGAATAAACACACGAGCGAAGTAGAGACAAAAAGCTCTCTTCAAAAATAAAATTGACTCTGAACAAACCATTAAAAAACTTCATACATCAAAACTAACATACTTATATACATATGTACACTGTACATAAATCGTTTGCACAAGCTTTGTTTATGTAGAGGTTCGCGCACATCGCGCGTCTTTTCACCAAACATAATCGATCGACCCTTCTAAAACTGGTTTCTGGAAATTGAAAAATGTTGCAAAGCTCGTCTCCCCAACGACATGCAACAACGAAAAGAGTACGCAAATCGTAAAGACTAAATATTCGAACGATACAACGAGAACGTGGAAAACGTTTTCATCGTTCTCGTCGCGTTATGCCAGTTAGCCCTGTTCCAAACCGATGTAGAAACAGCGAACGAGGAGGGATGGAAGCCGTGACGAACGTACGACACGGTATACACGCGCGTAAAAGGTACACGGGTTTCCGCGAAATTGGACATCGACGCGAAGCGTAATAGGACAGAGGCTCGCGGCACGGATAGCTCAAGTTACTGGTGGCTAACGATCCCGAATGATAGCGGTACGCTCCGCTTATTACGCCGTTACCCGTCCATTTTTACGCGTAAAATGGAGATTACACGGTGTCCGGGTACGATCACGATCGCGATCGATCAAGCAGTCGCCGCGTGTATCCGTTTCTGGAAATACACTGTGGCGTGTAACCGCGGTTGTTCGCTCGTTGAACGAGCGCTCGTGCGCGTTTCGCGCGTTCCACGTGGAAAATGCTGTTTCTAAAACGAAATAAAACGGCCAGGATCCGTAGTAGGATCCTCCGACGAGACAGTACCGATGCAACGGGATGGGCGGAGGGCGAGAGAGTCGGTCGATTAAGTGGTTACGTCGCGTTTGACACGATCGAACGGACAGACTTGCTCGCGCCTGTTAATCCTCTTACCGCAGAACACACTGCACCGGTGTAAACGATTAAAGCGATGACGCAAAAGAGAGCGAGCCAGTAGAGGCATGGAGAGAAACGAAGGCGTTGAGTAGCGGTACAAGAACACCGGTCTTCTGTACTTGCTAATAAAACGGCGGAGAAACGAGCAAGCTCGCGCCAACGAGTAAATAAACCTGCGACCAGCTGTTCACTTGCCCGTTCACCGAATTAACCGTAATAACCGATGCATTTAGCCGCGACATTCAAAACTTGTGCACGAAATACCATCGCCAATTCGCTATCCCCCACCCGAAAACCTTCCTCCCCCACCACTTTTGCCACCGCCACCGGCGGAACTCCATCCGTCCTGCCGCGCCGCATATCATTACCATGCAAATACGCTTGGCGTGCGGCAAAGCCCGTGTAAAATCGCCCACCCTCTTTACCTCGTACCCTGCTTCGCCCACACTCGTATTCATCTCCCTCCCACGCAACGGCGGTTCTC